TGTTCGCAATTATTTGTTTGGATTGGTGTGTATTGTCCTGTCTTACCTCTGTGTTGTGTGCTAGTTTGCAAACTATGTTGAGATTATTCGTCTGAAATCCAATGCAAAGATGTTTTGGTTGTCTGTTCTGTGTGCATGATGCGTGTCCCTCTGGTCTCCTCCGCATGAGTACACCCACCACTTGACGTTTTCATAGACACATCTCTGTGTACATGTATGTACCTACTGTACGTATGGCGAAATTTGAAACGTATTATTGTAGGTGGCATGACTGAAGCTTCGTCCAAAGCGATCCTACATTTACCTCGATGTTACACTCTGGTCTATTAAACTTGCCTCTGGATTTTTCTAATAGTTCTGATGCATGGGAGTAAAAACGTATACGCATTTGTCATAGTTACAATGTTTTCCACGGATATTTACTTGAGTGTCTGTGTTGTTCCTAACACGCATTCTAGGTGCAAATGGATGTCCCTGCAGCGTCCTTTGTATCGGCCTGTACCAGTGTACTATCTCTGCCTGAAACTCATTCTATGATCACATAAGCTTTCCGAGACAACAGCAGTGACATTTTGGTTCGTTGTTGACCTCGAGTTAGCCCATGTTATTGTACGTCTCACTTAACGATCTCGCTCAAACCGTTTCATCGTGCGATAGTCATCAGGTACCTGCTAAACACTGGAGCATATGTCTTGCGAATGTGCTCTCAGTTCAACCTATTCTCGGGATGGCAGTCCAGCAGTGTCCCCTCCAATGTACACATCTGACAACGTCTAAGCCCTCCAATGTACATATCTAACAACGTCTATGTAGGCCTTATTTTCTATGCGTTACCTATCATCCCGTATTAACACATTTTCATCTCTACATCTCTCCGCTCATACCACGTGCAGGCCAACTTCCTGCTGTCCATTCTGCTGGTCAATCCCATCATATACACCCAGTACGTTCGCAGTGACCGGTACATCCACGACAGTATGGAGACCTACACCTGGGGGGCGTGGGCTGCTTTAAGCGGCACTCTGGTACTGTACTTCATGTGTCGCACGCGAGATGCCGGTGTATTGCACACCACAGACGGAACCGAACTGCCTGCACCTGTGAGTGGTGAGGGCAGGGCTGCTGCGGGTAGTGATGTGCACAGGACAGGGGATAGCGCCAGGTTAATCGGCATGGATATGAGAGAGCCCGCAGACTCACGACACAACCGGAGAGAGAAAAGTGAGTGGTGTCTTTGTTATGGCTTGTGAGAGTTGCCCTAATATGATGTGTGAGTATTGTGTTGTTTAGTGTGAGAGGGTCCTTCAAGGATGTTTAAGTGGGTAATTGTGTGTGTGTCTGGTAGAGTGAACGTGTGCCTGACGGGTTCGTCAGTCAGGTTTTCATTCTGTGGAAGCATTGCTTACGTATTTTGAGAAGTGTATTTTTAAATGACGCACATTAGACTGACCAAAAGGTTCTGTCACACCTACGAATCCAACGATTGATTTAAAATTTAAATAAGCTGTTAGCGTTAAGCGCGCGGCGATGATACGTATCCGCAGTAGCACCTACCTGGAGATGACTTTACCACACTGTAAATATCGTGTATAGCTCAAACATAGTACATGCTTAAGCTTGTTCTCCAACTTCTTTATCCACGTACAAACTTAATTTCAGCCACTTACTGCCACAATCACGTACACAGATAGATTCTGCTCACCCATTCACTTCCATACGCACAGGTGCCACATGCACGACATGCTGTATAGCAAAGCCCCCGAGAGCCAAGCACTGCCGTTTCTGCAACCGGTGTGTAGCCCAGTACGACCACCACTGCTTCTGGACGAACAACTGTGTGGGGCAGCGCAACACGCGAGTGTTCTTTGCACTCGTCACATTGGGGTTGGTAGCTCTGTACCTGTACAACCAGGTTCTGGCGGCGTTTGTCTTTGCAAGTAGGCCGGTGCCGTATGTCGGGTAGGTCTGTGTGGGATGGCTGGAGGGCTGGAGTGCTGGAGTGCATGCCTACGGCGTACCGTATATTGCAATAGGGTAGTCGATACTCACCCATACCCTTAGGGATGATAACTCTATGGTTAAATAGCTAAAACGCTTGTCCATGTAGTATGGTGCGAGAGGTTCCTCGATACTCACTAATTCCCTTCCTCAGAACTGGAAGTCCTATGATTATATGAGTAAATATTGGCTGTACCTGTGTCTGTGATACCTCTGTAAAGACCTTGTCCAATGCACTGCGTCGCACTGTGAGTTTGGAACAGAGGCAAATATCGGAGCGTTCAGGTTGTCGGGTGATATGCGAGGCTGCTACACGCACTATCATCGACGGAAGTAGTAGTTGCTTCATACATAACTGTATAGTGACTGCAATTGGGGTTGATACTTTTTTTGGAGCTTTTCTAGGGTACTTGTTGTAGGCGTGGATCAGTGGCTATATATATATATATATATATATATATATATATATATATATATATATATATATATATATATATATATATATATATATATATATATATATATATATATATATATATATATATATATATATATATATATATATATATATATATATATATATATATATATATATATATATATATATAT